CTCGGCCGTGGGCCAAGCTGAGCGGGCTTCTGGGCTTCTGGGCTTCGGACTGTTTATCTCTTACAACGCGCGCGCACCAACGACGGCAATCGTGGAAAACACTCCATCCCAAGCAACTATATCTCGCAAACATATCCTCTTGCAAGCGCGTTGTCTCTGCGTGCCACCGATTCACCCTGAACGTCACGCAGCAACAGCGCGGCGTTCAGACCGTCGACAGGGTCTTGAGCTGAATACTTTCGATCTTTGGCGAGGGATGCCGCTCGACTCGAACCGCACTCTTCATGCTTGGATGAAGGAGTACAAACAGAAAAAGAACAAAGATAAAATGCCAACCGAGCCAGAGAAACGTGGTCTGCTTGGGTTTACCGATGTTGAGGCAGAACACCCCAAGTTGTACATCCGGAGGCTGTGGCTTGTCGCAGAGAACGACCGCAAACCATTCCCCGTGTTCTTGGACCCGCAAGTTCAGGAGCTTGCAACGCAGGTAAACGAGGTGGTCAACACGTTCGTGAAGGACGAGGACATGCGGCATGAAGAGCTGTGTGGCGGCGCGTTTCTCGAAAAGGACGCTGCACATATACTCGATGACCTAGGCTTCGGGTCGCGCATCTGGGGCGACGGTTCTGGGGCTGAGATACGACTCGGGAGCAATCTGCCAGGGTCGCGCCCTCGGTGGGGTGTCTACACAAACTCTGGACACCAGAGCAACGATGAAGACAGGTAAAGCTGTTGGCTCAGGCGTCCGCGAACAAGATACTGACGTCGGCAGTATTCGGAATAACCTGCGGTACTGGATAGCTGCTCGGATACAGGCTAGGATCAATGCGCCTTGCAAAGAGAAGAAGAGCGTTCCTTCAGTGACAGCAGAACGCATGGAACAGCTACCGCCGGCGCCTACATCAGTGCCTGCATCGCCATCGCTTCCGCGATGGTCTGAACTCATGCAGCGTGGTGGCACTCCAGATACATCCAGTCTCGAGCCGTCTCTCTTGAAGCGTCGAAGGAATAGTTCTGCAGCGACGGTAGAAGCAGAAACCAAAGCAGGCAGCAGCCGATCCAGGAGCAGAGCACGCTCAGACGACTCAAGCGATCCAGTCGACACCTTTTCCTTCACGAGCTTCATATGCACAGGTCCGGAAGCAGACCTA